TTTTTTAGATATATATAATTCTTCTTGCTTCTGTGGAATACTTCAATCTTTCAGTAAACAGAAGTTCTTTAGCCTAAAGAAACCAGATTGCTGTTTTTCTTTAATTTGTTTCTCAACCGAGTCAGGGTTGTGATCTGCAAACTCTTTAAATTTACAAACTCATGGAATAGACAAAAACTTGTATCTGTATATCAACTATGAAGAAACCAATTGCATTACAAAACTATATATCACAACATGCATCTTTGTCCAAAGAATGTCATCTTCCTTCCTACAACTATCCAAAAAAATATTTCAAGTACAAAAATAAAAAACACGCTATGTGCGTGTTAAATGTGAAAGGGGCATGGCAGAAACAATTTGTCTACTTGCTTTTGAGATTCTAGAGCAGAACATGAAAAGTAATAGCACTGAGGATAGTAAGAAGAGCCTGAAATATGTTCTGATCTCCTGCATTCCAACCTCAAGCACCTCCATCTTTTTTCCATGACGACTTTTCCTTTGCACTAAGTAACCATCGAGATATTCATCTATGGAAACCCATTTGTCCAAATTAGATGAGGAAGCAGCAGCCTTTGAATGGACATCGAGCTGATCTGGTACCAGCTTGAAGATTGTGAAAAATGCAGCAGACCAATCATTGAGAACTCTCTGAACCCAAAGATAAATCTTAGTTTTAGAGTTAATACTGAGTATTTTCATCAACCAATTACAATATTATCTCCCCTACAAATATCCCCTACAAAAACTAATAAATCTAAAAATTATGCAATTTGGTATAATATCTTATATGAAAACAGGAGAAGTAATAAAAATTGAACAAAATAAACAAGAATGAAAATAATAGAGGAGGCAAAATCTAACATACATTAAAGGTAGTCAGGTCAACTGGATTGAACATTTTAAAGCAGTCTTTTTGTGAGGCTGTGCCATCTCCATAAATCTGTGAGCCAATGCATGTAAGTTTGAAAATTAACATGGTAAATTTTGCAGCAAGTAATTTTATGAAAAGAGTTTGCATCACACAAACCTCAAAGGTGAATGCCATTGGTGCTTTTACAATGTCATACATGTAATCTGTTGCTGTTCCATGCGCCAAATACCTGAAATTTGTCACGTTTATATATATTTGTGAGATGAATTTAGAATGATAACATGTAAGGATCTGGTAAATCCCACACACCCTTTTGGTTAAAAGACTATCATTTCAATGAAATTTGGTACACAATAAAAAGTATAGTCTCTGTGATTGGTTAAGTCCATATTCACGTTGCAGCAAGGCCTTGCAGGTGCCAACATT